GCATCGAGGCCCAGCGCGCGCTGGCGCGGAGGCAAAAGCCGAGTCGCTGGCACCGCTTTGTGAGGCCCCTGGGACCGTGCTGTGTCCGGCGGGGTCCGAGGAACCACTTCGACGGCGTTGTCGGGGGCCTCGCTCCCCAGCGCAGCAGTGGCAACGCCGGCCAACAGCACACAGGACGATGTCCAGAAGCAACGCATGCGACAGATGACACCGCCCATTGAAGAAGCTTCAACCGAATTCCAACCGACGCCAAATCAAGGGTTGTTCTTATCACAGAATTACCCAGCAGTATTTCCAAGATGCATTGGTAATGGTGATCCAATTCTGTCTTCAATGCGTCTGAGTACGCTGTGGAGAACATGCGCCCAAGCTATTTTATGGCTGCGCCCAAGCATTTTATGGCAGCCTTCCTGCGGTAAACCTTCGTCGGTTCCGTTCAGGGGATGACAGTGTGAAGGTGGTTGGGCCTCCGTCGTCAAAACGTTGGTCTTGCCTGCATTCAGCAACACTTCAACCTGTCGGAAATCTCGCGTCAATTGTTTGCAAGCCTCGTGCGCCTCAGCATAGGCTCCAGTATCAGCCGATTCTGCACTTGAAGTGCATGTTTTGCGACCTCGATGACGTGTGCATTGCGCCAGCGCCAGGCAAAAAACATTCCTCTGGTTGGTACTTATATTGTGCCTTGCGTGGCTATTGCCGCTGTTTAGGTCATTGTCAAGCGGTACGAGGAAGGGCCGCACGTGCAACGACCGGTCGCCCGCATGCTTCTGTGTTGCACCTCGTGTGCGCGGCACAGCCGTGCCAACCGTTGTAACAGTTTGTCGCTCTTGCTTTGCGCAAGCTGGAGTGTGTCCAGTGCTATGACGAGGCTGGTCCCGCTAGAACCATTGGCGCTGAATGAACAGCCAGAACGCTTTTGTGCGTGACTCCGGTCGGGATATCGGCTCCGCTGGCGGGAGCCGCTGGCCGTATGCTGCACGTGGCCTTTCACGGATGCTTGTTGGTCAGATAGCCCCAGAGCAAGGCATTCAGTCAATTCTCCAATACTGCTTCACATGTCTCGCCGCCTTGCCAACTTCGCTTGTCAAAACCATCTAGTCGACGTGAGCACGCAGCACGCTCTTGGAATCGTGATGCACCTCGACATTCGTTCCCGTTCAACCGTATTCTCCGCGGCAAAGCGTCCGGCCAGAGCCTCGGTGGCTGCGCCGGGCGAGCGGTGAGAATGATGAGGAAACGTGGCACAGGATGGCCACCACCAATGTTGAGGCTTTAAGGCCCTGATGGCCCTGCTTACGAAAAGCAGCCCTGCACGCAGAAGGTGTGGGCTGATGCATCTTGCACGTACGCTCATCGTATGCCCGGCCGGCGCGTCTGACCTTTTAACGAGAGCACGCAACTATACGCAACTGTTCGTGCATGTCGGATCATGTCGGCAAGTCGCCTCTGCGTCGCAGGGGAGGGCCGGCGGCCCTCCTTGATCAACTTGATCGACTGCATTCAACGACCATGAACCCCGAGTAGTCATGTGCTCTGCACCGCATCTTGTGACGCGCACACCTCTGATATCTTATCAGACGTTTGCGGGGCTGCCCACGGGCCAACGAGGAGGAGGGACCTAACCGTCAGCGACGGCGCATTCGCATATGTTCGCTTACAGCGGCAGTCCAAAGCCAGGACCTTGAACGTGCGAAGCGAGGGCAGGCTTGGCGTGAACTGCTGCGGCTCAATCAGAATAAACAAACCTCAGAGTGGATTCAATCGCCCATGCTGTGGAGCCGTGGAGCCGAGACCGACCAAACGAACAAAGGCGATCACGTAGGACCTAGTTGTCGGCACCCCCCAAAGTTCAGAACCGACCTGTAATCAACTGTAGTCACTTTTTTGGGTTGCGACTTTGAATAGTTCATCGCAAGCTTCACAGGAAAACTGTGCGCGACAATCTTGAATCCGGCAGGTGTCGAAACTGCTCACATGCAGTATGTCACGGCGTTTTGCAAAAAGCAGCAGCCAGTTCGTGTTGGAAGTGAGGTGCAAAGCTTTTGAGTTTAGCATCCTTGCTTCTTGAAGTTGTCCGCATCCTGTTTCTGGTGTCTGGACCGCGCTAACCAAGTGAATCCAAGGATTGGACCATCGGGGCTGGGAAGTCTCCCAGGGAGCCGTGGAGGCTCTAGACAGTTCGATGGGGAAGACGATTGCGGGACAGTGAAATGTCGCGTGCGTTCATCATCAATCGTTCGTCAAAACCGCTACTTCAAGGGTCTGTGACGCCATGCCGGCGAATCGCAAGACGGAGCGTGTTTGCAGCTTTGAATGCCCAGCCCCCTTCCCCACCCCCTTCCCTCAGGACTCACTTAGCTTGGCCAAGTCTCATCTGATCAAAACAATTATTGTCCGGAACTTTCACATTCCTTGGCTGCAGGTGTAGACTGTGCTCCCTGGGCGACCCGGGGTGACTTCAGATTTCAGACTCAAAGTGTCACTGCTGAAGAACATACAGGGGAATCCTAACACCACAGACTCCCATGATGACACGCTGAGCCAGGCGACGCCCAGTAGGCCGGCCTTAGCATTGCGCCAGTGGGTTTTTATCTCTCCACACCTTCCGCAGGCCCATCTGAAAACTGCAGGGTGCACACATATGGGGGGTTCCGAAATTAGGGGGTACCTTGTTTTAGGATTGTCAGGGGATCTTACTGTTTGGGGGACTAGATGAAGGGCCCCCTGTTTTCGGAAAGCCCGGTATGTCGCGGCCACGCAGCAAGATATGTGCAGCCACCTCAGTGATGAGGCTGCTCAGTTACTTTGCATCATGGGCATGTTTACTCAACTCGCACACAGAAGCTCACCAGCAAGGCACGCAACAAAAAAACAATCTGCAAGGACTGTGGTAACTGAGGCCTACGAGTAACATTTAGCCAAGAAGCTGCTTTGCCTTCGAAAAGCGCTGCTTCGTCGATGAGTCTCGGACCCGACGGCCCTGTCTTGATCGGATACTTCACCTGGAGGATGGTGACTTTTTGGGTAGAGGACAATAGAAGCTCCCCGAGAAAACACCGTGAGCAGCGTGAGGCAGGCTTTTGCCTGGAAAGTGCCTCCCGGTGGTACACCAGCTGGAACCTTTGATGTGTTTGGAGGTTGAGGGTTCGGAGTATTTCGGGAAGAAGAGCCTGTTTTTTGGCGTGCGTAGGTCGTGTGCTCATGGAGATCACAAGGAAGTGCCTAAAGCATCCCAGCGTCCTGGCATTGGATCTTCGTTCCATGTGGAGTTGTCATTTGCAGAAGCTGACCCGGTCGCGCCCCGTAAGGCACCTGATCGACAGGTAGAGGAGGGTAGAGTTGAGGGCATGGGTTAGTAAGCCTTGCGTCCAGACTGTCCGTGTCAACTTCGTCCAGGAGTCTTAAGAGAAGGCAAAGAAACTAAGACCGCAACAAAATCAACCAAACAAGAAGACATGAGGGCCCAGCGCGTTCCGCGCCCGGACTGTGCGATTCTACTGGGACTTTAGCCTCTACCAGCTTGCTGCCTGATGCTCAAAAAATGCTTCACTGGTACAGCTTACTTCTGCGTTTTCAAATTGATTCAGGTTGTCAAGACATGTAGCCTTTCCAGCTCAGATATGACCATCCACCCCCAGATCATACTGGCAGGTCTGAAACCATGGCAATCACCAGCGTTTTGCCATAGTGACATTACAGGGCAGGCCATAATTGCAAAGCTCGAGCGCAGCAAGTGATCGTGGTCAGACACTTCAAGGGCGGCACCCTTCCAAAATGCCACTATGACACTGTGATCTGAGCTGGAAGACTGCATATGACGGCATGCGCTTCGCAACTTAGTCTAGAACTAATGCGGTTAGTACGGCTAAGTTGAGACAACAGTGACAACCCCAATTGATAGGCACATCCTGGTCCCTTCCCGTTTCCCTAATGCCAAGAACAACACCTGACAACCAAAAAATGACAAACACTGGCAATCAAAGACACTGAGCTAAACGTCCAAAGTAAGACTATCACCAAATAAGAACCATGTTGAATTTAGACAGCAGCCCATTGCACATTCTAGAACGGCAGCAGATGCATGCATTGATCTGCTGGAATCTTCAATGCCGCATGCCCAGACACTGGAAGCTTTTACCAAAACCGGCCTGGACCAAGACTGTGCCCATGCCATCCTGGAAGCCAGGCATGCTCATTGAAATGATGGGAAGTCCTCTTATTGCTCATCCAAATAGCAAGTCCCTCGCAGTGTGAAATGCAAAGTCTTGGCTTTGCGGGCAAACCTGGAAAATCCTGAATACATGTCAAGGCTGCAGGGTTCCACATGGATTCAATGTGCCCAGAGATTCCTAGCGGTGAAGCGTGCTTTCAAAGCTCGTCGCACAGCTGCTTCTGGTCATTGAGCGAAGAAAATCTTCAACACTCTGGACTGATTCCAAGATCAGCCAAGCATCCTGCGGCGCCTGCTGCGCTGGCCCAGGCGCATAGGCCGGTGGTGCAACTGGTGAAGCGCTGGCGCAGCCCATGGCCAAACGCGCGTGCGTGGAAGGACTTAGAAACACAGTCGTACCATATGCGAGGCAGGCTAACAGCATGGTTGAATCTCGGTTTCGTCTATTCCCCCGCATCCTAAACTTGTTGACCCCCAAGCCAACACATGTTCAGATCTGGGCACCTATATAATGCCCCAGATGCCTTGGACTCGTCTGGTACAGCAATTCGGCCATACCGCTCGGCGAGTGGTTGTCTGAAAGGCAATTGTCCGTGCGGTAATGCAACTGTCAGCAGGCGCTGCGCAGGGGCAACAATAACCACCATCGACTAGGTCAGGAACAAGCTGGATGTGTTCACATTATCTGATTTTCTACATGTAGCAGCGCCTTCCCTCGCCCAGCTTCAGCGAACCAATTTTCCACATCTTGTTGGCACTGCAAGGCGATCCCTGTGCTCAAGGTGGTCAAGAGGAAGGGGAGAGCAAGGGTCCCCCATGGCACCCGAGCTCAAGTCAGGCTGGCAAGCTGCGCCTCAGAAGGGGAGGACGTCAAAGCGGAAGGCGTCAACTCCAAACTCAACCGAACACACCGAACCATATGTGGACCGATGTTGATATGATGCTTTCCTTCAAGGCTGTTATCCAAACCATATGTGGACAGATTCTGGGGCAGTTCGGCCCCCCAAAATTATGCGAAAATGTCTCGCGCGCACTTCGTTTGCCATGTTAGCTATGCAAGTCGTTCTCTCACAACAACCAAGCCTCAACCTGCGCATCAGTTGCCACTGGTGTGCACAAACACCTACACAAGTCCTGAGTCGTCCTGACTATTCTCATCTTGAGTTCTGTACCGGGAAACCAACCTAAACCCTAAACCCTAAACTCGAAACCCGAAACCCTAAACCCTAAATTTTACTAAAGCAGGAAACCCTAAACCCTAAATTTTACTAAAGAAGGTCACGAAACAACAGTCGGGTGCCCCGCCTGGCTCGGCTCCGCCTCTGGCTCCTCGGTCGGCTCTCGCGCTTTGGTAGTGCCGCCCCCAGCAGAGGCATCATCAAATTGGTGGTACTCCTCCGAGACTCCGAGACAGATCTGGGGGCAAAGGTTCAGAATAAGGTTCAGAATGGATAATGGTTCATACTGGTTCCATGCGTGGTGAGGTGCTTTCTTTGTGAAGGAAGCGCTCATCGACCGATGCATGCTTGGAAGGTGTCCTCTCGTACCATCTCGCCCCCCTTCGACGGGTCAAAGCGAGCCTTCTCAGCACGCACCCTTTTAACCCTACACCCTAAACCCTACACCCTACACCCTAAACCCTAAACCCTACACCGTAAACCCTGAACTCTAAACCCTACACCCTAAACCCTAAAGCGCCGCACGTCATGAACCAAGGAATCCTCTCATGCCCCGACATGCAAGGCATCCCGTGCCTTGTAGTAAGACCCATTCGCGCACACGATGATGACCTACAGTCTGGGAAGCTCGGGCAAGGGTTTAGGGTTTAGGGTTCAGGGTTCAGGGTTTGGGGTTTAGGGTTTAGGGTTTAGGGTCTAGTGTGACCAACTTCCCCATGCTCCAGGTGCCTCCCTCCAGGAATCCTTCAACATCCCGCAAGGATGCGACACAAAGTCACGCCTCGAGACCTTGAGCACCTCAAGCAAGGCCCGGGCAGTGTGCGGATCAGTCCCAAACGCAGCGATATAGCGGTAGTCATGGACGCGAAACCTTGCAGGCCGTATCATCAAGTCTTCATGCTTGGTCCCGCATGGTGCAGGTCGTTGGGCGTGCTGCTGGTAAGATCTGGCATGCTTGGATTCTTGGCTACTCGAGGTCGAGGAGAAGCTAGCTTGCCGGCAGGCGAGAAGCTTGCGGGCAAGGCTACACTCCACCTCAAAAACGGAGTTGGGAGGAGCTCCTGGGAACTCAGCTTCGGGCTGTGCCAAACTCCACTCAGAGGAAAAATAGGCCTGTCATTGCAGAGCAGTTGCTACTTGAGTACTTGCGGCTGTGCCGAGTTGTTGCATGAAGCTTCAATCATGTCCAACATTCGGCAGATCAAGGCTTGAACTCTGACAGCTGTCAGGGAAACATTTGGAGCTGCGGAAGTGGTAGCGCCAGTAGGACCGGCTTCGCTTCGGAGGATACGTTGCATAGACAGGTTCACATGAACAAGGCACGGATGTGGAGTACCCATCAATCTTGCCGGCATCACAGGCAGAACCCTCGACCTCAGCAACACGCTGAACTGGTCTCACAACTTCTGGATTGTGCGCTATTCGCTTTGCAACTCCCTCCACAAGCCACCCAGCCCGCTTCGCCTCATTGCAAGATTGGTCCTTCCTTTGCCAAATCAAACGTTTGCGAAATGACGGTGCTTGGGTTCCAGCAGTCTCTGCAGGCTTGACTTCGCATTGGAAGTGCTTGCCTTTCGCCAAATCACGCTGCGTGCTGCGCTGGTGCTTCACACTCTGTGGGGCACGCAGCGCACGTGCCCCAGGTGTGCTGACATACGTTCAGCCTGAGCTTGAATACTTTTCTTGGGGGCCTCAGCGCTGTAGCCAAATGAGGCGGAACTTCCGCCTGCGAGCACCCCGGGATTGCAGCTGCCACCCTCCTTTAACATCCTCCCTGCAGATGGCTATGTTCCATGCCGTAACCCAGTGTGAGTGAAGTCATCCAAGGATTCGAGAACCATGCGTTGGCGCGCTTCCTGGCCGCTGGATGGCAAAGAGGTGCACCGTTCCCTTGTCCGAAGAGGCGGCCAAATACTCGCCTGCGAGATGCTCACGACCCTGCCCTCCCTCCTCCCCGAGATTACTAGGATGGCCCTGAAAGCCATCTGAAAAATTTCCTGAATATGATCCTCTTAGACCCAAAAAGGGAAAATATATAATATCCCAAGGGCCTAGCTAGATTGCTGGCTCAAACTGTTCAATGCTGTCGCTCACCTTGCAGAAAGGTGGTCACAACAGTGGCAACACTCTGAGGGATTTTAGCTCGACCTTTGCCTCGTTATCCTGCAGTCTGGGCGTGCAAGCTCTGACCCCAGGTCTGCTTAGAATATGTAACTTGCACTAGGCACTGAAGCCGTGGACAAACATGCGCTAAATCGCAAGTACCCGCACAAACATAGCTGCACTAGTACCCGGCCTGACGGAGAGAAGGTGAGGGAGTGGATCTGCGAGCGAGAGATCACGTGGTATGAACAATGGCTGAAAAGCCCGTGAAGGCCCCGAGTGCCGAGAATCCCGGAGAGAGTATGAGTAGCAGGTTGGAAGGTCTTGGTTCTGAAGCTGGGATCTGTGCAAGGGCCAACTTAACCGCTAATCAACTTGGTTCAGTTTGCGCTGCAGAACTTTGAGTGTTCTTGTGGGGCACTAATAGGCACTGTATTTGTAACCCTGCCCCTAGATGGTTTGCATTCGGAGGAACCTCTGCCCGTCTGACCCTTAGCACCAAATCCATCGCATGACAGACAGCGCCAGACTACCTCAGCAAGGTGAGAATGCAGCACAGCACTTCTGCCGAAACCATCACCGTCACCACATCGCTGAGCCAACCCTTGCACATGTGGAGCTCACCGGGTAACCTTGTGGAAACAGCACCCGCCTCCGCTCTGTCCAAGCCCCTTCTCAGCTCCTTTTGGGCAAGGCGCTGGAGGCTGGATCTAGGATGTGAGCTTAGGCTTGCGGACATAGGGTCCCATTGTCTTTTGGGGCAATTGTTCCGGTGCGTGTGCAAGGGGCGGAATTCCGGGATTCTGCAAGCACTGACCTCCCCATACCATCCCATGTCCATTGATGCGAGGTACTCTTTGTCTAAACACAGCCCCCGCATCCCTGCAATCAGACAACCCTGTACATGCCCTCATGCGCCACTGCCTGTGCCAGACCGTCACGCTGCAATTCCTTCAGGCTGCTGAGGCTTGGCATGAGACGGAGTTTGAAGCAGCAATTCTGCAAAGGAAGCCGAACCTGTCTGCAACACAAGCTCACAACAGACTTGGTGTGCTTCAAAGGGGTTGGTCGAATCCAGGTGATTAGAGGTTATAGCCCTTCCTTGCCATGTTTCTAGATATATATAAATATATTTATATTCATTTATATGCATATTCACATTCATATGCATATTCTCATATTTATATTTATACTCATAATGTCTGTCATTCTCTGCCTCTAGACCCTAGCCCAAACTGAGCCGACGACATGCACTCGAACTATTGTTCCCTTCTCTGATGCCGTCGCAATCAAGGAACCTGGCGTGCGGTAGGATGTACAGTACTTATTACTTACATACCTGCACGAATTACAAACCCTCACAGTGTAGCAATCAGACGCAATTCAGCATTTTTCTGCATGATCCCGCATGTTACAGGGCAGCAAAATGAGCCGGCCGTGCAGTTTGCATCCAAAGCTATGGCTGCAATGGGGGAGTCCTTGGAAGCTCGGAAGGTTGAAAGATGCAGCTGTAGGATGCCAAGGATGCTGGAGGGGTTCAGCCAACCCACGTCGAGCCACCCGCACAAACTCATGCTGTGCTTCCGGGAGCGCCGAATGCATAGCACGCTGCAATGCTGCAGACGGAGGAAACAGCACGTGAAGCCAACAACGTCTAACGCAGATTCTATAAGGTGACGCTGCGATGTCCCAACGTGGCTCTGCGCGAGGCCCGCGCAAGGTGCGGGCCCAGGAACCCGTCAATTCCTGAAACTGAGGACTGCAAAAGGGATCCCGTTCCAAGTCGCTCTTGGCAGCCGAGCGCCCCGCATCCACATGGAATCCACGCGCCGAACGCTCGATCAGGTTTAGGGTTTCAGGTACACCTTGCAGCCAACCCCCCTGGGCATCAAGTAGCCCGGGCGCGGGTCAGCGGCATCAGCGGGATCGGGGCGGGTTCCCGGGCTGCTAAACAATCCTCGAAACCAGGTCCAGTAGTTGTTGTTGCTGCTGCTGCTGTTGTACCCCTCTTCCGCAGAAAAAGGCAAAAACGAAACTCCCCCTTGCGCCCATGCCTACATTCTTGTGTCACTTTGGGGCTGGGTGACGGCTCCCTTAGATTCGCAATTCTGCGGCGGGCCAATGCCTCTAGCCTTTCCTATCTATGGTAGATGCGCGAATCGGTCGGGCCGAAGATGACCAGCCAAGGACAGCTAGGATATATCAGGGGCTGTCCGCCGAAAAACCGATGAGCCAATATCCCAAACCCTAAGTAAGTAAACCCTGAACCCACGGCCGAAAGGCCTATAACACGATAACCCTACCCTAAACCCGAGTGCTCATCGGCGAGTTTGCCAGGTGCGGCAACAGGGCGAAGGAGAGGCAAGTCAAGTCTCACTACTTTGAGCGAAAAAAAACACTGTTCCAGAGTCACAGCATGTCGCTGAGATTCTGCATTTCGCCAAGTCTCGTGAGCAGCCTTGATGATGGTGCGCTCCCTCTCCCCTGGGGCCTCAGCTCCCATGCAAGCTAAAAGCCACAGTGCCCACTCTGCTTTCCTCGCTTCAGCTGCCTTAGCCTTAGCTAAGTTGAACTTGCTTGCTGTGTGGGGGCTGTTCTCATGTCCCTTCCGCACAGCGAAGGGGTGCCGAGTTGCCGAGAGCTCTGCATATCCAGCAACCCGTGTGCGCGCAGAGAGTGCCGAGTCCAGGGCGGAGGGGTCTCCATAGTTCTCCGGATAGAACACCACCAGTGCGCTGCCCTGACCAGAAGCTGTACACGACCAGATTCAAATCGATTCAAACCCTTCACACAGGCCCCAGCTGAAAGGATCGCTACTCTTGTCTAAATTCGCGTTTTGCGAGAGAGCCCTGTGAATCGGATCTAACGCCCCGATTCGCCGAGGTGGCTTTTCGGACCCCGCGCTCTTGGACTTTGAGCCTGCTGTCTGCCCGGGCAAACGAGCACGATGCGATCTCCAGACGAGAGGTAACACAAACCTTGGCACCCAACATTGCTGGATTGGTGACTGGGACGGGGAAGCTCTTCAGAAGAAGTTTCGTCCAACGTGTCGAAAGGGAGTCCGAAGCTAGGAAGTCGAGTGCTTGGAGGTTCATGGTACTTATGAACCACGTGTAACTGTACTTCTAACTGTACGTAAAACCATATTGGGGCACTTAAGTGGCTTATAAGTGGGTGTTGTAAGTTATAATTGGTTAGCAAGTACCATGAACCTCCAAGTAGACCCGAAACCCTAAACCCTAAACCCTTAAACCCTAAACCCTTAAACCCTAAACCCTAAACCCTATGTGCGTCAGCGCCATGACTCCTCACCCCTGGGCTCCTGGCCCTTGGGGTTGTCTGTGGTCTCGATTGAGTCCAGGAGGCTCAGAGTCTTGAAGCCATACACCCACACCTCAGAACGAGTTTAGGGTTTAGGGTTTAGGGTTGCAATCCTTACAATGCTGCTTTACCAACTGACATCTGGACCCTGCCTTGTTCAGAGTGGCCACGACCACCAGGTCCCGCCGGAGCCTGGACAGCATCTGACAGCTCGAAAGTGGAACGGCTCAAACCAGGACGGGACTCCACACTCACCAAGACGACAAAGGCCCCAGACTGCGAATTGCAGTCGCTCTCACCAAGCCCTGAGAATCTATAAGCCATTGTCAGCTCCCAAACCTCTCCTAATACGCAGAGTGTACTACTACAGGACAGCACTGCTGAAGAACTCAGTGGGTTCATAAACGACAACCCTCAGCCCGAAGACCCCTGGTTGGGAGCGCGAAGAGAGATAGCAAGACTAAACTAAGAAATTGGGGGTACTTCAGGCTTGGGGCCAAAACTTCTTAGTTTTTGGTTGCTTCTTGATTTCCCCCCCACCCCACCCCCTCCCCCCCCCCCCTCCCGCCCGACACCAACCCCCTCAGGTAGTATCATGAGGGTCTGGATTTCTCATAAATATGAGGTCGAGGAGACCAACGAAATTGAAAGGATGGATTTCTCTCTCTCTCTCTCTCTTTTTAGGGGGAGGGAATTAGGAGATATTGAAGAGACAGATGTGAGGGGAGAAGTTTAAGACAAATTGTGGGGGGGGGGGGGGCAAACAAGTACAATTATAATTGGTGAGTAAGTACCATGAACCTCCAAGTAGAGGTACCTAAACGTTTCCTTGAGAGCCCCGGAACCCTAAACCCTAAACCCTAAAACCCTAAAACCCTAAAACCCTAAACCCTAAACCCTAAACCCTAAACCCTAAACCCTAAACCCTAAACCCTAAACCCTAAACCCTAAACCCTGCCTCACAGACTTCACGGTTGTCTTGAAGCTGAGCTCGGCCATGACCCGGGTGTGCCGATCATCCCAAAGCACAACCTTCCAAGGCAAGCTCTCAAAGCAGGGCTTGGGGTTTTAGGGCCGTGGACGGTTTAGGGTTTAGGGTTTAGGGTTTAGGGTTTAGGGTTTAGTAGGAGGCTGTTGCTGAGAAAGAGAAAGGCAAGGCAGCAAATCAAGCGCTCGAGCCTTGTGGGGTTGAAACCGCGGATTTTTTCCGCCCCCCGAGAAGGCCAAGATGTTCGTCCGGAACTGGCAGGGCGAAGGGAGGCAAGAAGCATGTTGCTGCAAAGTGCCAGAAGTCCCAAATTCTCTCTGATGGACTGACGGATTTCCGGACCCAGCAACTCACGGGGCGTTCTGGCTCTGTAATTGGCCTCCCATAAACCCTATACATCCCTAAACCCCTAAACCCTAAAACCCCTCTTTGGTTGTGAATTGCAATGTGCGTAGAACCTACACAACGGTCGAAAAAACTGAGCCGGGCCACCAGCATGCAAACGATCCCCAAGCCGCTGCCATCCTCCGGTGCTCACACTGCAAACTTAAACTTGGGCTTAGGATTTAGGGTTTAGGGGTTTAGGGGTTTAAGGGGTTAAGGGGTTTAAGGTTTAAAAATGTGTGGGCCGCGTTTCCTGGTGGCCCGCATGACTCATCTCTGGGCTTTACATGGCCCTAGACCCTTTACCCTAAACCCTAAGTCTCTTCAGCTGGGAACCTCCCTGCACTTGGGCTCCTCGAAATCTCTTCGGAAAGTGAGGTGGAAAGGGTCCTCAATGGACACAGGTGATTATTCAATCAGGATCGATACTGCATGTATCATGATTTTTGCTGTCCGTAATCAAAGTAAATATACATATACATATATTCAGCCACAGGAAGACATAATGATGTACAATAATATAGAGCGGATGCTACTCTTTTGCAGCTCCGGTCCGCACTGTAGACGCGGAATCCGCTCTCTGTGCCGCAGACGAAGCAGGTGAAATCCTCGCAATGACTCGCAATGATTGGGGGCTGAAATGCGGCGAAGTACAATATGTTTACATGTATCGGCCTTGAACGCTCAGAGATGCCCTGGGCTTGCTGAAACGCAGTTCTATGAAGCTGCACCTTGTTGAATTTGAGCCACTTAGCTTCGTTCATTGCCGGCTCCGGAAGCACCCTGCTGGATTCCCCGCACCGCGGACCTGGTTGAAGCTCACATACAGGATCTCATTGACCTCTTCAAGTCACGCTTTCGGGTCTGTGGTGCCGGGGTTCGAGCGAAAGGTTGTGCAGCGGCATCCAAGAAAATCTGAGCAATTTGGTCGACAGATACTGCAAAAAGGCCGAAACTGTCCAGGCTTCAAGTTTCTTAGGTTGCTTACTTGGAGGTTCATGATACTTGTTAACCTATTGTAACTGTACTTATAACCCACTTATCAGCCCCTTCAGTGCTTAACGTGTACATGACTACAAAAGCCAAGAACGCGGCAGGGTTGGCTTGCAGGTCCATGGACATGGCGTTGCTGCATGGGGCAACCTGGACTTGGGTCCCACATTTGTGGCGATTGAGTTCTAGGGCTCTCAATCTAAACCCTAAACCCTTAACCCTAAACCCTAAACCGCTTCTGAATAATGTGACGTTCTGTGGCTCGATTCAAGATACAAACTCCGACTCCGTGCTACACACTCCTGGCACCACCCTTTGAGGACTTGGGTGCAAGTTACAAGTCGAAGCAACGCACGCTACGCACCCCGGAGATCATCCCAGAGATCAGCAGAACAGAAGAAGCCACTCTGCCAAGTCCGGCCTCAACCCCGGAAGATTGGCTCACACCCACGAGACACGAGGATCTCTTAAGTGGGGAGCTCGGAAAATGCCTCTTTAGGTGGTACGAAGCTACTATGTGCCTTTACTAGCCGACCAGGCAAAGGCAAAAGGCGCCTACGGTGCTAAGAGGTGCTTGCTGGTGCTTTGCGGCATTCTCGAGTTGTCCGATGGTGTGCTGCATGTTCTGTGCCATGAGGGTTCTTCCAGCCACATGTCTGAGCTGTCTGTGCTGGATTTATGGGTTTGCTCTGACGCCACGCCCGTCAATGTAGGGCAATACTCGGCATCCTTGGTGCACGAGCTACAAGACATGGACTGGGAAAATTTGGCTGCGCAGGGAGAGCTCATGGAAAACAGGGTTTAGGGTTTAGGGTTCAGGGTTCTGAAATTGTCAACAGCCTCGCCTGGGACCCTGTTTGGGCTGTGAAGCAAACGATGAACTTTGGCAGGCCCGCTCTAGCACCATCCTGAAGGCAGCAGAACCTATAGATCATGCCTTCCATACCGGATGTGACTAAATGTCATCCGGCTCCGAACGCAGAAGGGGTGCATTTTGGATATCCTCACAGGCAAATGCATAGGGAAACCCTAAGCCCCAACCTTCCTAAAACCTCAGCCGCCCGCGAACAGCAGTTGAGGACTACTACTCGTACCGAACGGAAGATCGAAAAGAACAAAAAGAGGAAATTATGATCCAAACCATTTGAGGTCGCCTACAGTGCGTCGTTCAGGACGGCTCATGAGATTGCCGGCCGTCCCCTTGGCCTCTGGGGGCAAGTGTCTGCAAGGCTGATCGGTGGAAGCAACCTTCAAGAGGCAGGGCCGTTGGACGCAATCGGTGCAAGCGGGCCGACAGGGGCCAGAGGGTGGAGACGGTTTCAACGGCCAGTCTGCATTGCGAGATCGAGATTCGGTGCTTTATAGTGTTCCCGGCTGCGTGCCTGTGCAGCTAGACAGCATGTAAACATGGATGACCACAACCTCTCCAGCAGCTCGAACACATGCGGACCCTCGATGCATAAACGTGTGGCTGGACCAGCTCGCCCACCATCTCCTCAGCCCTGGCTTAACCCTGAACATACCCCAAACCCGTTAGAGACCGGTAGAGTCCAGACTCATTGGCCTTGGTTCCTTCTTTCGGTACGCTTTTGCATGTTTTTGCGCCGGGGATGTGAAACTTCTGCCCGCTTGGCCAGCGGCGTCCAATCTAGCAGAGCAGGCTTAGGCCTAGACTCGTGCCTGCCATCATATAATACAATAATGCAACAAATAACTCAATAGATAAACAGATGAAACCATGCATATGTAATGGAACTTTTGTTTGTGCGGACTGCTACCAGGGCTGCAATGCTCGACCAGCGGGGTGGCAACCGCCACATTGTTTCCGAGGCCCTTCCCTCCTAAACGGTTTTTGAGATATCAGGAGGTTGTCTTTCAACCTGACTGCTCATATCTCTATGACCCCATGACTTTCGCTGAGCTTTTGCTTCCGTCACTCGATGCCTCGCAACCCCCGTCGCGCTGGCATTATCTTGGGTCCCTTCGGGGGGCTGCTCTCTTCACCTGCAAAAGGCAGGGCACTGAGCTGAGGACTTGAACCTGAGGTTTAGGGTTTAGGGTTTGGGGTTTAGGGTGGCGTGGCCTCATATCATGCTGCCTTCTGCGGCGACTCTTGAATCTCGGGAGTTGGATCTGGAGTTCCTGAGGTCTTCGCCTCCAACCCACCGAGCTTCTTGTTGCTTCAGGGGGCTCTTCAGCTGCTTCACAAACCCCTCCAGCTGAACATGGGCCCTTTCCCACCCTTCCCTCACGGAGGCCTTGCAAAGAGTCTTGAAGCGGTTTGTGTTCCAAGCTCGCCTCGGCCGTGGCAAGCAGTGACCTTCACGGAAGCCTTTCTGCTCATCTGGGGGTTTACGATAAGAAAGACCCCTAAATGGTAGGATCCCCTTATACCAAGGACCCCAAAAAGGTACCCCCCTTTTTTTGGAGTTGTTTTTGGAAAACTCCCATCTGGGATGTGGACCGGCAGCTGGGGATAGCCGAACTTCCCCGGCCAAAGCCCAGGAAATCCTGGCAGGCCAGTGTTTAGGGTTTAGGGTTTAGGGTTTAGGGCCGGGTTTAGGGTTTAGGGTTCTTGCACAACAAGAGTGTCATCATCGCTGCTGGCTACTCTACGAACTGAAGGTGCCTGTTGGGTATACCTAGCATCCAGCATGCTACGAGGCTATGGTACACAGAAGGTAGCCCTAAACCCTAAACCCTAAACCCTAAACCCTATTTAGAACTTCAAGCTGCCCATCACCGGAGATCTGGGGCACCAAAGGGCACAAGTGACTCAACTAACCCGCGGATGCTGGAGTGCTGCTTCTATGATGGGATTTCGAGAGCTGGGGTTTAGGGTTTAGGGTTTAAGGCTTAGGGGGTTTAGGGTTTAGGTTTTCGGGTTTAGGGGGTTTAGGGTTCAGGGTTTCGGGTTTGGGGTTTAGGGCTTAGGGGGTTTAGGGTTTAGGGAGCCCCGTTGCAGCCAACGCGTGGAAGAGGTTCGGAACTCTGGTGTGGTGTAGCTCTCGACGTACATGGGCTCCTGACAGGAGGCTGAATCTGTGCGTTGTCATGGATGCCATGGGGATGTTGATCATTCCTTGCCAACGCAATCTGACATCTGAGACTATACACTCCTGATACTTCCGCCGGTCGAAATGCTCTCGCCGAAACTTGTACTGGTACCGGTAGTGGTCCAAGTAGAACAGCGTCCGCCTCCGCACACGACATCGCTCGTTGTGCGCACGAAGCCATCATCAAATCCAGGCCTGCTTAGTCAACGGCTATATTGGCATATTGATACGGAGATGCAATAATTTCTGAGTATAGCAGTAAAGGTGATATACTAATATGAAAACATAACAATCTAGTATTGTCATAGACTCGTATAAGCACAGAACCATATAATCATACAATCATCAAATCATAGAAGTGTATAGTGCCGTAAGAACCAGAAGATACTAATGCAACAAGATGGTGATCTAATGAAACGCGTTGCGCAAAAGCCTTCTGAGCCGTGCAGAACCTCCAGAACCTCCGGCCTCCTTCTGGCGAAGTACTGAGTAATCCTCGGAGCTAAAGTTGGGAAGTCTTTTGCTTTCTACCACTTTTGTACCAGTTCTCGCTTGGAGCGCACTTTTCGGATGGGTCCTAAGTTGGGGTTCGTTCCGCGGAACTGCTCAGAGGTGTTTGGGTCGGTTGGGGGCTGACCCCGAATGGCTTGGTTTTTTTTCATGCATCAATTTTGCCGGGGTGCGGGGGAAGTCTGACAGCTTCGGCAACACATGATCCAAACGAAGGCTTGGAGCTTTATCGATGCGCAGCCGATGTGATTGCCAGACAACATGCCCCGACTTGAGAGTTCGAATTCAAATTTGGTCTATCAGGAGCCCTACGATGGGCACCGGCATCCTGCCACTGAAGTTTGCAGCAGGCACATCCCGAAGCAAAGACAACAAGAGAAACCCAACCCTACTGCCAGCCGATGGCTTTACTTGGAGGTTCATGGTACTTATTACCCACTTGCAACTGTACTTATACCCCACTTACAGTTGTGATTGGTTAGTAAGTACCATGAACCTCCAAGTAGTGAGTTCAGTGTTCCTGCCGAGGGCCCAGCCGCTTCTTGGGGACAACGGGCATGGCTCACGATGCCAACGAAAACCAGTCCGCTAATTTGTGAGTTTAGTTGAGCAGCAGCTCACCGATGATTTGAGGCGAGCCTTGAGAATCTGAGGAAGTCTATAGTCAAGTGCTCTGAAGCTATGGCAGTGCTGTGCCTTCCATGCCCGGTCCTCATGTTTGCCTTGCGTGTGTTTGGCTCTTGACTCATTCTGCCCTAGGGGGAGAGGACGTCACTTTGGCACTGGCTTGCGAGTAAACCCACGGATGCAGATGTGACATCAACGGCAGGCCATCTTAAGAAGATCCTACACTAGAGTGCTCTGGAATGGCTGCCACTGGACCCACATGAATACCCCTTGTTTTCACTGCTTCTGTTGTGTGCGTCTATATGTCCCTCTGCGTCTCTGCGTGTCCGTGCGTCTCTGTGTGTGTGTGTGTGGCATGTTGCCAGGTTCACCCTTCAAACAGTCTTGCCTTGTCACCGTGATGGACAACCTGCCTCTAACTGTGCTGTTTTCCGGTCAATGGCCTGGTGCATGGAGCTCAACAGATCGGCGGTTCAAGCGATTTGCTTCTGCCTCGATCGCCGCGCGAGCATGATGTCGGCGAGCAACCAGGTTTCATCTTGCAGAAAGTAGAAATTCTATCACTGCCTGAATCACTGCTCGTAAGACGATGCTCTGTTAGTACGAGTCTACGCATCGCCGAGAGAACATGTCCGGCTCCCGTCCCCTCCTTTGGAGGGGACATCATGGACATCCTAGCTGATGTGAAACTTCCTGAAGCGAGAGATTCTATTTCTGCCGCTGCGCCGATGCTAACCGGCACCGCGCACAACTCAGGCCCTGAAGCTGGAGCGCTACAGCCTGGGGTGGCTTCATCCTCCCGAATAAATGAGGACTCCGAGGGAAAGAAGACTGAGGCATTTCGGCTCCAGAACCTTCCAGCAATCTCTCTACTGCCGTTCCTGGGATTCCAGGTGTAGGGTTTGGGACTGACTGATACTGATCTGCTACTGGACT